AAGAAGATGGAGTCATGTCTTAATAACAAGCGTGAAAGCAGAGATTGGGTGGTCCAGGCATGTAGCTGGTGAGCTGACCACCTTGCATTGGTTCTGCTAAAAAGCCAAGATAAACTGAGATAGCTTTGTGGAAGCAGAGTGTCCACTCCAAGAGTGAAGAAGGCTCTTGCCGTCCACCATATGCGTCTCCCGGTTCTCAGCACAAGCAATCCTCACACTGAGACCCGCCCATGAGTCACCCTGGTCTCAGTAAAGACAGAGTCTGACTCTGACTGGTGATGCCTTGATGCCAGGCCAGCACCACCCTCCTAGCAAGGCAGGACGATGAAGCTCAGAGACAGCAACAAATGACCTGACCAGGGTTCACCACTCATAAGGGCAGAGCCAATGGAATCCAGGGTCTAAGTGTCTCCAGAACTCAGGCCCTCTCCACTGTAGCACCCATGACATGATTGGGATGCTGCTATAGCTGGGATCTTGAATGTGTTAAAGGTTTGGTCCCCAGCCCAGGGCGCTACTAGAAGGTGGTAGAGCATTTAGTAAGTGTGGCCTGGAAGGAGGTTTTAGGTCGTCTGGGGGGGTCCTCAAAGAGGATTGAGGCACCCCTCCCTCAAGTGTCTTCCTTTCTTGTTGGCTGGCCAGGAGAGAAGCAGTTTTGTTCCACCACACACTCCACCCTGATGTGCTCCTCCCCACCAGAGACCTACCTGTCCTCCAGGTGGTGGACTGGAACCTCCAAAACTAGGGGCCAAAATAAACCTTTGCTTTTTGAAGTTGATTATCTCAGGAATTTGTTATAGTGATGGAAAACTGACTACCACAGATGCCATGTTCTAAGAGAAACCTAGGTCTGCAAGAAGGACCCAGTGTGTGACGCTGTGGAGCCCACATCACAGGAAAAACAAATGGAGAATGAGAGACATGTGATCTAAAAAACAAACAAATGAACAGACTTTGGAGATAAGGCAATTAGCCCCAAACATGAGAAGAGCTGTCCAATAGGGAAGCCACCTACCTGGATGGTCCTGTTGGGGGGCACCCCAATGGAGGAGACAGATGGGCATGTTCGTTTGGGTTCTTATGAAGAATGTCCTAATGGTTGGGCTGTCCTAAAATAGAACAGACCATCCTGGGGTGCAGAGGTCACAGCTTTCCAGACACCACCTCCATGACTGATGTGTCTGTACAGCACCTGTCATCTTACTATCCCTGCTATCAAAGAAGCATTATATGTTGTAATGATAACAGTAAATCTGACCAAGACAATACATCACTTCCAGCAAAGGTCATTCAACCAGGAGACCTACTGTCTTTTTGTGTTTATAAAGAGGTGTTAATAAATGTTAGTCAAACATTAATGGCATATTATCAGGAAATGGAAATGACATATTTAGAATCGAAATAAAAGCAATCTATTTAGAATTTAAATAAATTCAAAAATCACTCTTTTTTCTCCCTCTGAAATTCAGCTGCACCTCCTAAAATCATCTTGGAAAACACTGGTCCTAATGATCTCAGCCATGAACTTCTAGACCCCCAGGCCCTTCTATTAAGCAGAACAGCCCAAGTTCCCCCCAAGTAATGCTTAGAAAGTTTTGAGCCCTCTCACCATCCCTGATACGCTCCATGGATTAGCATCTTGTGGCAGCAAAGAATGCAACTCTGAATGAGGAGGAACATGATCCTTCCAATCAAGCTGGCCCAGAGCATCCTCAGCTGCCCACTAGCATCTCCCTTCTCTGTTGGCACTCACTGCACTTGCTCCACGAGAGCCGCTATCTTCTAAGCCAGGTAAGGTCACATCCTCCTCAGCCCACTTGATTACTTGGTGCTTTTGGATTGACTTCTTATAGTTAGGGTAACTCAAAAACAGACTACATGGAGTCGCCAATCAGAATGTGTCAGGGAGAGAATTCAAAGTGACAAAGTTTGGCCAGAAGCTATTGAGCAGGCCTCCCGCCCTGCAATCCTACATTTAACACAACACACAAGGAGAGGGGAAGAAGATGCCAAGGTGTACCATGGGGGAAGAATATGGGAACCCTGCTCATTTCAGGCCTGTACTCTGCCTGATGGTCACGAAGCATCACATTTTCTGCCACAAGTCATTTCATTCTCATAGCTGCTCTGGGAAGTAGGTAAGATGTCCCCGTTTTGCAAATGAAGAAACTGATGCTCAGAGAGGCCAACTAATTTATCCAGAACATGCAGGCGGTTAACAGAATCAGGATTCCCAGTCAAGGTTCATCCTATTACATATGCAGATGAAGGAAGAAATTAGAAAAGCGAAAGGCCACCAGCTGATGGTGACCTTGAAGGTGAGGATAAGTGGTTATGATTTAATACAGAGGATCAGAAAAAGGTCACATCTCTTTGGATGTGAGGAATTACTTTTGAGTCTTTGCAAAAACTTGAGATCAACTAATACTTAACAAATAATGGAAATAAAACCAGAGGAAATAAGTGAAAGGCAAAACCCTCAGGATGTACAGAGGTGATCTAAGAAGGGAGGTTCCTGGTAGTCTTTGGTCATGTCCCTTCAGAGGACCTAAAACCAGCCTCTATCCAGAAAAGCAGTCAAGAACAAACCCTCCAGAAGCAACAGGGACAAGGATGACTCCTTCTCAAACCACCTTTGTGGAAAGTGCCTTCACAGTTTCTTAGAAGTGAAAGGCAAACGTTTAGCCACTTACATTTTAGCAGACTGCCATGAACATTAGCTGTGTGCCATCAGGGAATTTGAAATTCCAGGATGTTTTCCATTGGCTCAGAAGGTCACTGGATGTTACAGTGGTGGATTCAAGCAGCTTATCAAAAATTAACTCATACACAAGGCTGATCCAACAGTTTGATTCCTATGCCTCCCACTGAAACACACACACACACACAAGCATGCAACAGACCTGGAAGGAAATGACAAAGGGACTAGCGATAGCGTTCTCCACAGTCACTGCTAAGCACAGGGGAGAAGTGACACACTTGTCAAAGCTGTGAAGTGGGTCCCTGACACCACAGGCTGCTGCGGGTCCACATGCTTTCAAGCCACAGGATGTGCAATTCATGCGGACTTTGAAATATTGGATTAAAGAACACAAAGCTCCAGGAACACCTGAGCACCTTTTTGAAATCATGTAAAATCACAGTGGAGTCCACAGCACCAGGAACACATTTGGAAACTTTACTTAAAGTATTATTACCTGTGAGGAAGGGTCCGCAGTGAGATTTCTTAGAGCTTATGAATATTTATTATGGAGTATTCTTTAAAGCAACCAAAAATTAAGTCCAGAACAAATGGGAAACAGATTTCTAAGAGTCGTTATGTTTACATTATGCAAATTATAGTTGAAGATCTATAACCCGAATATTGTTAAATGCCTAAAAAGGGTGGGGGGAGCAGCTGATATTTGGACATTTTCTTAAAATGGACGAATAATATTTTTAGAGCTTTTGACAGTCTGTGCACTGAGGGACTCCTGCAGGCACATCTTTTACTAACCTGGTAGTAAAGTCATTAGGTCAAGGCTATGTCAAAGGCCTGGGGTTTTAATAGCCCCTTTGTTCACAGAAGTCCATGCAGGACTGGATGGGTGACACTCAAACCCGATAGGAAAGCCCTCATACCTGGCTCAGCCCCTGCCAGTCCAGAAGCAATGAGGAGGCTTTGCCAACACGCCAAAACTCCCACCTAAGCACACTTGGGTTTCACATTTAGCAAAAAAGAGAAGCAAAGTGGACAGGCTTACATGCTGAAAAGCTTGCCCGAAAGATGTCACCTTGGACTTTATGACACTGATCGAGCATAAACCCCAGACAGACACACAAGTTTACCTCCAAAGGAGGCAGCGAGCTGAAGGTGGCCCCCACCCTTGACAAAATGTAGTTAAAGACTCATAACCCAAGCTTTCACCAGGTACCACATCACTTGAGGAAGGCTAACTAATTGAAATGTTTATTATTAATAGCTACTATTTCTTGTTAGGACACCAATACATAGTCATCATATGAAATCTGTAAAACACAGAGAAAATTGCTAAATAGAAATACATTTAAAGTGAAAGCTTACCAAGTCAGAAATGAGGCGCCACCTCTTCAGATCACTGATGTCTGGGCTCAGGCAAACCCACAAGCCTTTTCTCCTCACCTCCCACTGCCCATTGCCAGCAGCCCCTGACCCCTGCCCCAGATGCAAAAGAGCACAGCTGTGCCCTTTCTCAAGGCTTCAACCCAAGGAGCTGAAAAGTCTGTTGTATGTGGTCTCCCCATAGTGCAGAGGAGAATGAATGAGTTACAGATCACATAAACTTCACCACCAGAAACAAAACTCCCGGCCCACTCATCACCTTGCAAAAAACACCCTCCCATGCTCCAGTTGTGCGGTCTTAGGCAAGTCACTTGACAACCCTTGTCCTCCCCTCTATGTGGGGGCTGAGAATGTTCCCTTCAATTCAAAGGGTTGTGGTAACATTCAACGACAGTGTCCCATTCCGTGCATGCAGCTAGTTCTGCACAGCACTGTTAATAAGAACAGCAAGTCCTATCTCCAAAAGTAACTCTGAATCCTGTCACTGTGAGCAAGATATACAAAAAGATACAGACACTGGGGCTGGGGACAGCTCAGCCTTAGAGCATTTGCCTAAGCTTAGAGCATTCCAACCCCAGCATCACAAAAAAAAAAAAAAAAAAAAAAAAGTGTGTTTGTGTTTGTGTGTGTGTATGTAGAAATAAACTTGCTCTACTGGATTCTTGAAAGTTGAAAATAAACCAGCTCTGCCTTGATGTTCTTCTAAACTTGGTTTATGAGCATAACCATCCTTTCTTAGGCATTTGATTCCATTCATTGCATTCAATGAAATCAGGAACCCTGTTTTTAAAATCCAGGGCTGGAAGCGTAGCTCAGTTGTGGAGCATTTGCTGAACACATGCAAGGTCCAGAGTTCCATCCCCAGCATCATGAATGTATACACACATGCACGCACACACACACATTAATAATTACTAACCTGTCTTTGTGTCTTGGGGATTAACCAAAACCAGTATTTTATGGTGAGGTTCATCACGGTGCAGAGAACAAAAGCAAATGGATGAAGTTTCAAGTTTAACCTGAAAAAATAATAAAATATCTGTTTTGCTCTTTCATCATATTAAGGGCACAGGAAATTGCTGAACAATTAGCACAGTATTCATTGAAAGAACACTACATCGTGGAGGTAAACAGGATGTAGGCAACATAAAAATGCAAATCTTACTCATTCTGAGCTAACCACAAGGGGTATCTGGTAACTGTCCCATCTCCGACCTGCCAAACTTTTCTCCCCACTTTCACCTGCCCACCTATTCAAGTTGATTAAACACTCTCCTGCCAAATGCCCTGGGTATCTCTCACTTCCATATACTTCCTACCCCAGCCTTCCATCCTGATCCTCCTTGGGCCTCAGCCTGCAAAAGCTGAGAGCTACACACCCACCTCAGTCATATACCTGTTAAGTCGGCATCAACTATCCTCCCTGAGCCCTGGTGACTACTCTATAGGAGCAGTCCAGGATGTCACTTTGGCTGCCTACTGCCCTGGCTCAGGCCCCTGCAAGCAGTCTCAAGAAATACATACTTCACTGGGTGCTCCAGGCTTAGCCAGGGCTCCATGCAGCCCTGCAGCGGAGATGCTCAATTCTGGGTGCCTATTTGCTTATATGACAGAGGAACTGGGGTCGCTGACACTGGGATTGTCCCAGAGTCTTCTCTCAAGCCCCCTCATCCAAAGCCCTCATAGTGGCCATCACACTTTCTTCTCCCAGCTTCCAAAGCACAAGGTCAACACATTCCATTACCATGCTTATTTTGAAAACCAAGGAGAGTTAAGAAAATTAGAAAAGAATGTGTCAGCTGAGCAAGGCAGGAAGGCTGCTTGTAAAAGTTTACAGGAGGCCTCCACAGTTTCAAAGAACTATTTCTTAACAAATCCTGGGACACATAAACATCTTGGTACCTCCCCATCTCTGAAGTCACTCTAACGAAGAGATCTCAAGCTGGCCCTCCTGCAGAGGTTATGTCAAGCACAGCTCATCCACGAGATGGCCGATACAAGGCCATTAAATGTGCCATTTACAAGGCATCATATCAACCTAGAAAGATACTTATTACTGAATACAGCATTGTATTCAGGGAGTGACCTCACCTAGTTGTTGTTGTTGTTGTTTTTAAGTATGCAGGAAAAAAAAAATCCAACAGAAATACATCAGAATGTTCCTGGTAGTGAACCATGCATGATTGTGTTTTCTCTACCCTTTGGTACAGTGCCCAAGTATCATACAGTGAGCTTTTACTGTTTTGTGACCAGAAAAATCAACAAATATTATTGTGTTCTAAATGTGACAGAACAATTTTAAGACCAGAAAAAGAGTCAATTATAAAATGAAAAGATAGAGGAGCAAAGTGACATGACATGATATAGCCTCAAACCACTTCCGCATCTTTCTTTTTATTTTGGAAAACCCCGGATTCAAAAAGAAAAGATAAACCTGCTAAAAGCAATGAGGCAGTTCAACACCATTCCTAATGAGGCTATTTTGTAGCTTAGCGGTAGGAAACTGCTCCTATCCCTTAATTAACTACTAAAATAGCAGGAAATCAAATGATTGTTTCCATGAAAACTTTTTTTTTAGAAAGGAGTGAAGCAAATAGGTATACAGACATGACAGCATTTCTATCATATTAAAATAACTTAATTTTAGTAACTGTCTTATGTTTTTGTTAACACTAATTTTTTTATCTTAAAGAGCATAGTCTGTATTGAGTTTTATTTTAAGGAAAGTAATCCATAAACATGGGTGTAATTAAAGCAGGTGACTGAAACTTCAGGGCTAGCTGCTGCACTTCATGGCTCTTTTTGGATTGCCCTGCAACCTCCACGCTCCACCCACCCCTGCAGCCCACCTCTCAGCTGGGTGTAACTAAATCCCCAACCTTGACGGAGTGCTTGAGAGCTTCTGGCCACGAGGGGGCGCTAGAAGCGTACAAGCACCTTCTGCAGATCAACGTGAAGTCACCCATGGGAACTGGATTCTGGGAGTGACTTGACTGGGAGTTACCATCTCTGAAATCTCAAGAAAGCCACAGTTTGTAACTGTACCAACCATTGTTTTCATTAACTCTGGAACAACTGCACTATAGTAAAACAACACCCGGTCTCCCTCAACAAACTGTGCCTGCCAGATAGCAATCATTTCTGCCATGAGTGAAATCTTACAGATGATCTCAAACAAGAATTTTTTTGTCTCTTCCAACAGATCAGCCTCAAATGTGAAAGATAACTACCGTAGGTACTATCCAATACAGGTATTCTTTTTACTGACTGCAGGGAGGGAAGACTATCTCTTAAGTTACACAGTTTTAAAATTTCACCCACAATGCTACCATCCGAACGAATAAACAATTTTCTTGTCTCTCTGTTCCCTTCAAGGCCCGACTCACAATGCACACAATCTTACTAGTGCCCAAAATCATAAATGACATAGCTTCATTCCAAATTATGAAATGATAGAACTGAAAAAAAACCTTAAAGACCATAGATAAACCAATCTCTTCATCTTACAAATCAGGAAACTGAGGTTCGGCTAGGTATTTATTATACCCTGTATCACTTTTAATTACTTTATAAAATATTATTATAATTATTTAATTATTATTTAATTATAATTTGAAAATAGCAAGACAAGAGAAGGTACAACTTAACCAAGGTCACACAGCTAGTAACTGGTAAACCTATGATTCGCACAGGTTACCTGGTTCATTGCCTGGCACAACCAGACTCACACTCAGGACTCCAGAATCCCAACTGAGGATCCCTTCTGCTTCTCAAGGTGGAATTATTTTACTATTCACTTTTGTTTTTGTTTTCCTAAATCTGGAATATTCTTTCTATAACACTTTCTTCTCTAAATTAGATTTGACAGAACTCTCCGCCAAGAAAGAGCACACATACCTGCTCCCCAGAGGAAAGAGAGAAAATCTCTGATGAGGTCTGAGCTCCTTCACCAAGTGAGGCATGATAAGCCAATGTTGCTTCCTGATGCCCCTTGGGGTCATCTTCCAAAATATCCACAGGGTAAGTGCCTACTGGGGTGGGGAGTAGAAGTGATGTTAGTTTTATTCTTTCATTAAAGGGACAGTCACTTATATCTTGAAGATATAAAACTAAAAGATTATTTGCTTTAAATCAATTTAGTTCACCTATTCCCTGTTAGGCTGTTTAGGAAACTTCTTTGAAACTACCGAATGATTTCCCAAGTACTTTCAGCAGAATCAACACAGCAGCAAGGAACACAGCAGGCATTGGGAGGGCTGAGACTAGCTGCTGACTTCGTCAAAATCCAACTTGACCCAGCTATCCCACTCCTCGGTTTATACCCAAAGGACTTAAAAATCAGCATACTATAGTGACACAGCCACATCAATGTTTATAGCAAATCAATTCACAATAACTGAGCTATGAAATCAACTTAGATGCCCTTCAAGATGAAGAAACTGTGGTACATATACACAATGGAATGTTACTTAGCCTTAAAGAAGAATGAAATTATAGCATTCGCAGGTAAATAGATGGAACTAGAGAATATCATGCTAAGTGAAATAAGCCAATCCCCCCAAAAAAACAAATGCTGAATGTTCTCTGATAAGCAGATGCTGATCCATAGTGGGGAGCAGGGATAGGGGCAGGCGGAACTTTGGATTGTGCAGAGGGGTGTGAGAGGAGGGGTGGGGTGGTGGGGATGGGAATGAAGGTAGAATGAGACAGACATTATTACCCTATATACATGTATAATCTTACTACTGGTGTGACTCAGCACCATGTATAGCCAGAGGAATGAGAAGTTATGATCTATTTATGTACAATGTGTCAAAATGCATTCTATTGTCATGTATAACTAATTAGAACAAATTTTAAAATCCAGCTTGAGTGGTTCTCACTTTCCTAGCTAATATTAACTATAAATATTAATATTAGCATGATATTCTCTAGTTCCATCTATTTACCTGCAAATGCTATAATTTCATTCTTATTTAAGGCTGAGTAAAATAATGATGAAACTTGGGATCTCTATCTCATACAGGTTCATGAGATTTTGCCCATTCCTCCCTTAGTGGGACTACTCTTTTGTAAGAGACCATAACTCCAATGACTCATATGAAGTACATAACTACAAGCCCACACAGATAAATGAATATTGTACGTATTCATTTGCAAAGAAATTAATGCATATTATTCTCTGAATCTTCCCTGGTGTCTTTTTCCTATAGCCACACTTTTGGAGAAAAAATGATTTTATTTGAGGAAAAATTATATTCTTGAATCAAACAAAGAGAGCGTACAGTTGAACTTAGCAGCAGCAATCAAATTTTCCCTCTGGGGCTGGGGATGTGGCTCAAGGGGTAGCGCGCTCGCCTGGCATGCGTGCGGCCCAGGTTCGATCCTCAGCACCACATACAAACAAAGATGTTGTGTCCGCCAAGAACTAAAAAAACAAATGTTAAGATTTAAACAAAACAAAAAAAAAATTTTTTTTAAAAATTTTCCCTCTGCAGCAATCAAAGATGCTGGGCTGGCATGTCCCCACGTGGGATAAGGGCTCTATCCCCATTCTGTGGACTCTGCCCCATCTTTACCTTGGATTTGCCTCTGGGCCTCCTATAAGGGAAGAAGGTTACCAGAGAAGCTGCTGCCCTTATTCCTCCCCTTCCTTATTGAATATGGAAGAACCATCATGATTCCCTGAATAATACAGCATAACAACTACTTGCATTTGCACTGTATCAGTAAGTCATGTAAAGATTAAAGTCCCCAGGAGAATCTGCACAGGTTCTCTGCAAACACACCATTTTATTTAATGGACTTGAGCATCCACAAATTTTGGGTTCCAAGCAGGGGGGTGGTCCTCAAACCAGTCTTATGGACACCAAAAGACAACTGTATATTCTTCCACTCTTTGATTTCTTTTTAAGTACTTCAGGGTGAAAATCACACAAAAATTTACTACTACAACTGCATTGATTCAAATATTTCAAATAAAGAATTGACATCAGGCAAGGAGTAAAATAATGATGAAAACTTGGGATCTCTGTCTAAAAAGATTGTGGGCCACTACAACCAAGACACTCTGCTACAGAAGGCACACATGTGTGAGCGTCGGTGTGTGTATCCTCTCCACACATAAATACATTTAAAGAATCCCAGACTCCTCCTTACCTTGATGAGTCAGGAAGTCCCCCAGCAACCAATCAGACCTGCAGCCCTCTAGCTGAGCCCCTGGGGTTCCTGTGTTCCTTACTGAGGCCTTCAGGAGCACAGCTCAGGAGCCAGAGGGATCCAGTTCCTTACCCAGGGACCATTTCAAAACCGTCAAGGAGACCAAACTCAGCCTGTCTCACTTCCCTTCAATCATCCCAATCCATCCCTCACTTAGCACAGGGTCTCAGCATCCCATAACAGCCTCTCACCACCCCCGCATCCACCCACCCTCCACCCACACCAATTAAAATAGCAGCACAGTTAACTTTCTGTGGACTCTAGATCTCAATATGCTGCTCAGTGTCCCACGGCCCGCATTTCACTGAATCCTGCTTAACTCCAACTGGCAGAGGAAGAAACAGGCCTCACGAGGATAAGACCTGGCTAGAAAGCAGCAGAATCAGACAGGAGACCAGGTCTGTCTGATTTCAAAATCTGTGTACAGCATTCAGATCATGACAGTGACCCTATCAACTTGGTCTCCTCCACCCTTACCCCTCCACATCCCCATCTCCTCCAGCACCCAGTGGGCTCATGTCCCCACTCCTGACATCCTCCTTCTACCTCTTCATCCACAGGATCCACCTCCGATGCAGCCATCTCTCCTTGCTAGGAATCCCAAAAGGCAAGGGCAAGTACTCTAGGGATCACTGAGTCCTGTGTTTATGTGAGAACTTAGCCTAGGATAGCAATTAACACTGATCAGCCACCCCCTCTGTCCGTAGGGCCCCCAACTCACACCTCAACTTGGTCTTTTTTAGTAGTTACCCCCTAGCCCAGAGCTGCTGGGGCTTGCTGAGTACAACTTCCCTCCCCACTCCCAGACTCTACTCTGAAGACCCCTCCCCATGCTTGTCCCATACAAAGCACTTAGTAAATTTAGGTGGTTGTTTAACTGAGCTCTGCACTGAAACTGCTACTTATTTCATCTGGTTGGTCAAGTATGCAAAAAGACCTGGCAAACATTCCAATGAATCAAGGAAAACTGGAAAAGGGGCTGCTTGAAACCTGGGTGCATCCCGCAGAAACCAGCCTCAGTAGCTTCCTCTCCCAAAATGTCCCCAGGAGCACCAGCATAAGGAGCAAGTTAGAGATGGACTCTGATTTTTACTCTCTGTTGCTGACTCTATGTTTTGGGAAATGCATTCCTCAGGTCTGGACCATTGATCAGCCTACTCCAGTGAGGATGCAGGGCCGACAGAAGAGCATCCTCAACCAGCCCCAGAGAGAAGCTGAGCAAGGCCCCCTGTCATTTTCCCTTGTGCCCAGGGAGTGGAAGAACACTGTGGCCAAAGGGTTTGCAGGCACTCCCAATTTGAGGCCACCAGGCCAGAGGCTTGACTCCTGGTGGGTCGGGTAGGGAGGCTCTTTCCTGGCTTCTACAGGCTGCCAAGAGTTGCCTGGCACGATTTCTGGTCGTGTGTGGTCAGGAGAAATGCTATGAATGTGTTTTGCTCCTTCCATGCCATGAAATCATTTCCCCTGCAGGTTACTTTGCTGGGGCCGTGAAACATCCTCAAAGGACTCTGTGGGGACTTTCCAGAAGACAGTCACTGCCCTAGGGCTCTAACGCCTGACTGCCCAAAGGGAACACAGGAGTGGACCCCTTGGGGTCTTTTCAGAACCAACAGCTTCAGGAATCAGAAGACTATCCTGAGAGTGGTGGTGACATCCTGCCTTCCTCTGGGGAGAGAGGCACATAAATTAACCCTCCCAATCACGGCAAACTGGTGGGGGTGGGGGAACACCATAATGCTCAAAAAATAGTGTGGGGCTGGGGATATAGCTCAGAGTGCTTGCCTCTCACGCTCAAGGGCCTAGGCTCCATCCCCAGCACCTCCAAAAAAAAAAGAAAGAAAATACTGTGGCACCCACACTCAGTTCCCTTTTAAAGCAGGGTGCACAAGAACAGCCACAGAGCAGAGCACTAGGAGTGCCCCTCAATTCAACCTAGCACCCACAACTCTCTGGCCCACTTTGTTTAAATTCATTCTCTTCCCTTTGAGGAAAACTTCTCCATCAGAAATCTCAGCAGCTTCTGTCCTATACAGATGTTTGGGTTAGCCTCCTGGAAAATTGGGTGGGAATGACAATCAAAGCCGCTTAAGACAGGAGAGGGGCGAGAGCACCCAAGGCCCAGCAGAAGAAGACCCCTCCCCAACCTTAGAAGAAGGAAGGCACCACTCCTCAGCCCAGGAGAATGAAACCCTCTCATGACTCAGAAGGAGGACGGACTCCCCGCTCCCAGGAAGAATTAAAACACACACACACACACACACACACACAAGCACACACGAGAGTCAGCCTTGGGAAGTAAACAAGGCTTGCGCACGCGCCTGAGGCTGGACCAGGCCTCCACGCTGTTCTGCTTCCCCGCTTCCCGGGTGATGGAAGGCAGGCTCTGCAAGAGCCTCCAGATGTGAAATGCTAACAGCCTTTAATGGCTTGAACTGAACAGAAAATATTTTCCAAAGCCAAAAGAATGTAATCTTTTCAGTACAACGTTAAATACTTTTTATTAAAAAAGGCACACAGTTGAAATGATATTCTCTGCAGACTGTAAAGAAACTGAAATCCCTCAACAAACTCAGAATTAAAGAATTCACTTTAAGCATACGTTGGCATAGTCACCCTAAAAACAAAAACAATAGTACATCTGAAAGCATTCTTCTAGGGAAAATAATTGAATTATTCAGGATGTTTGTACCAAAGCTCAAGTTCCCAGACTGCTTCAACAGCAATGTTATACCCAGCCACTTTGTATCACCCACTGCCCATCGGCCACCAACGCTGCAGGGTCAGCCACTGCTGTTCAGGCTGGCAAGGCCTT